CCTGTGTATCAACCGGATCCCATCCTTGGCTTTCCGAATTCCACAATCGACTACTTTCGGCCAAGAAACCCGGCCCCTCCAAATCCGACCACAAAATTCAACTAGCCTCTATCATGGGATGTGAAAACTGGGTCATGATAATGATTAGCGAGATAGCCTGGCTAGGAACCTGGAGACAAAAACACGAATCTGATTCTACCATAGATTTCAAACAACAACTAATTTTCACAGAACAGAATATTCGAGGTCGTCTTGAATCTAAAAATTCAGAAACGTTAGAGGAACTCCATGCATTAAGGTCAATTCATCGAGGAACCCCGCCATTCTATTTCACAGAATTGTATAACAAACATACCATCCTCCTGATAACCCACATCTTTGCCTGCGCATCTCTCATCTATCTTCAAATGGTCATCACGGATAATCTACTCCAGGAAGATATCGATATGATGCTCCACAACACTATAAACGCCATGCGTATGATCCCTAATCCTCAAATGTTCAGAGGATTAGTGTGGCCATTGAGTGTGGCAGGTTGTTTGGCAAGCTCGAAACAAGATCAGGAATTCTTTCGAGAGACGTCGAGAGGAGCGGTGGCGGATTCAAGAAGTTTTGGGAATTCGAGGAGTGCGTTTGAGATTTTGGAAAAGAGTTGGGAGTTGCAGAGGAGGGAGGGGAGATTGATTGATTGTACCATGACGATTAAGGAGATGGGGAGTTGTATACTTTTGGTTTGAATTATGAGTGTGTAGAAAATCACTAGTAAATCGGGGGTTTGGCCTTTAGCAATGTTGGTATGGGAACTATTCGTAGTATTTTGATTCTTATAAAGATTATATGAATTACTTTGATATTTCTTCTCTGGTCTCTAATTTTCATTTTCAAATCACCTATAAATTCTATTGTCTAACTCGACCCAGATAATCCCAAATCCTTCTCAATTATCCTAACCATTTTCAACAATTTTTCCTCCTCCAATCTCCTCCCAACAATCTGTAATCCCACACTTCCTCCCTCATATTTCTGCGCGCCTTCTTTCCCAGGTCCCCAAAGAGCTTCCATATCCGTTTTCCCACCCTCATTTCCATCCCACACATCACGCTCTTCCACCTCCCCAGCAGGTAAACACGCAACTGGTAAATCCAACCCATTAAACACACTGGTATACCCCCAATACTTCGCCTCTTCATGCGCATTCGCTACCGTTACACCTCCTGGCGCTATGATACAATCCACCCCCGTCTCCAACATCAATTTCGCATACGCGTCTTGGATTCTATTTCTCTCTTTATGCAATTTCCACTGTTCGGAAACGGTGCGGTTTTTCGTGGTTTTCTTTTCTAAAAGCCATTGGAGTAAGGAGGTTGGAGGTTCGGAGGTCAGAGACAGGTGAGAGAGATATTCGGCGCCCCCGTCGAGAAGATACATTGCGTCAACGGTAGAGATAAGAGGAGCGTGGAGATGTGTGGGGAAGGGAATAATTTCGTGTCCTGCTTCTTTGAGTGTGGATTCTGTGGTGTGTAGAACACGGGTGATGGGTGGATGAGGTGTATGTACTCCATCGGTATAAATGATACCGATTTTCAATTTCCTGTTCTCTTCCTTCTCAGCAGCAACACCTTCGCGACATCCCCATGGGATAGGAAGCAATCCGACTTCTCTTCTCCAAGGCTGCGCATCCAAAAGCGTTTTGCAGAATAATTCCACATCCGCCAAACACGTGGCAATGGGTCCGACAACCCCAATCACACTTTCCATGCCATCGTGTGCGCCCGAGAGCCCGGAATGCGGAAGTCGCGCCACACTGGGTTTGAGACCGTAGATACCGCAGCTGAGCGCGGGACTGCGAATACTTCCTCCGATGTCGGTGCCGATTCCGAGAATCGAGCCGTGCATGGCTACGAGTGCGGATTCGCCACCTGATGAACCACCGGGGGAGAGAAAGGTATTCAAGGGATTGGTAGTAGTGGAATAGAGATTCGAGCGTGTTTCGAGAGCCATGAGTCCTTGGGGATTAGTAGTTTTGACGTGGAATACTGCGCCGCTGTTACGGAGGACTTGGATGCACATTCCTTCTTGGGAGGGGGAGGTACAGAAGTTATCGGCCCAGGCTACGAAACCGGATGTGGAGGGTGTGTCGATGAGGTAGATGTGTTCTTTTACGGAGATGGGGAGACCGTGGAGGGGTCCAATGGGAGATCCGGTTTGGGTCATGTGGGCGTCGAGTTTGGCGGCGTGGGAGAGAGCGCTGGGGTACATGGTCCAGGCGAGACAGTTTGTCTGTTTTTTGTTTCGTTAGTCCTTTTTTTACTCCTGTTCTTTTCATATTCTGTTCGGGTATTTCATTGAAAGTTCAATGACTGAGATTAGGGTAATCAATCCAGAAGAAAGAAGATTGAAGACGAACCGCTTGATGAGCAACAGCGCTCGCTTTACAAAATGCCGTTGTAACTTCCACAGCTGTGTACTCTCTCGTTCTCATTTTCTCCAGCAAATCCACAGCAGTACTATACACAATCTTTACTTCTCTCTCATTCAACAAACCACACGTTTTTACTAAATCAAGAGGACGTTTAGATTTGAGAAGGTCTGCTGGAAGAATCCATTCCGAGGGAATAGAAGAGAAAATCTCTTGTTGACGACGACTAGCGATGGCTTGCCATGTTGAAATTGTAGAGGTTTTCGAAGGTTGTTCTTCCGCCAGCTCAGAAGTGGTGGACACAGGAACTTCCTTTACAGGAGTCGAGGAAGAAGACGAAAGTTCTGCGATGGAGGGAGCCATGGCTTGAAGAATTGGAAGACACTGATCTTCTATTTTCTTGAGTGTATCGATTTGATTCCCCGGATGTTTGTACAAACACAGTAAAACCAATTTCAATATTTGAAGAGAAATAAAAAGAGCGAAGTGTGCAACGTTAACCAAAATGCAAAGAACACACTTAAAACCAATTTTCAAAAGCTACATATCACGTCTTCCATGAGATACATATCTGTATTTATATCAATATCCCCCAAAAGAACAGACCGCCTGTATCGTACGCCTCGCCCTTCCCCATAGATACGCAGCACAGCTACTTCATACCTACCCACCTTCCCACACGAACTCAAACTTCGAAAGAAATCGTCACATCCGGAACCGCATGTGATTGTCGAATGAAAACCAATGGATTTTGATCAATCGATCAGATAAGAAAAGCGATGATCAGATTGGTGGGGTGGTGGATAGGAAGGTCCTTGCACGGGACCTGAATCGGATCAATAGTGAGGGAAATTCGCGTCCACTTTCCTGGGAAAAGGGGTCGTGTCGACTTACCTTCTTTGGTAGCGTCAAGGAGGTTTGCGGTGACATCTTGGAGGATGTTGTTTGGTATAAAGGGGATTGCTCAGATGATTGTTTTCTTGTGGTTGTATAATTTCATTCTGTGTTTTTCGTGGGATATTTTGTATAGAATAACATTTCTACAACATCATTGTATCACTTCGTTATCAATTACCCCTTCACATCCATATCCACATCCAAAATCATGGGTTCCATAACACCCGAACAGAAATCCGGGGAATACCCTCAATTAAAAGAAAACACCATCAGAGTATACAAAAAACGAGGTATTTACCCCTCTCCTCCTTACAAAACAAATTCTAATCCTTCATAGCACATTATGATTACCGCACGGTTCATTCAATTCTCTCTCAAACATTCGTCTCTACAATTTCATTCATAGTACCAGATGAAGATGGAGAACCCTCACCATTTTCCTTACCAATGACCGCTGTGGCTGGAAACTATGATCCTCACAAACCCATCTGTGAAGATGACGGAACCGAGGAACAGTATGTACAGGAACAAGAGAGTTTCGGCGAAGGACCATTCGATGTATATCTCCACGGAAATTCCGCCATGATGTTAAACCGGATGACGAAACAGGGAGGAAACATGAAAGTTGTAATCAGTAGCACCAAAGGTATATTTACCCCCATTCAAGCAAGACTGCTCTCACTAACAACCCACAGTCGACGGTCTAATCCTCCACTTCACCCCCAATGGCCACTCCCTCAACTACCGCTCCTGCATCATCCACGGCACCGCCGAACCCGTGACTTCCGCCTCTGAAAAACACTACGCCATGCATCTCCTCACAAACCACATGATCCGTCGTCGCTGGTCACAGACCAACCCCGTGGCGTCCGAAGCCATGAAATCGGTGCAGGTGATCAAAGTCGTTGTGCGCAGTGCGTCGGCGAAAATCCGGACTGGGAATGTAGAGAGTTTGGAGCGGGGAGGATTGGGCGAGCGGGACGATGTGTGGACGGGAGCGTTGCCGTTGTATGAGGTGCTGGGGGAACCGGTGCAGAGTGCGTATTGTGATGATAGGAAGGTGCAGGAGGGAGTGGTGGATTGGATGGAGAGGAGGAATGGAGAGGAGAGGAGGTATGCGGAGGAAAAGGCGATACCGTTGACATTGGGTGGTTGTAGTAAGTGATGAGTGTGTAATATGTGATATTTAATAATAGATACCCCAAATGAGAATATAATATAGGACTTGATTGCATGCAGAATAATGACAGACAATGTGGGAAGGGCGGATATTCTGGAGTTCATTTGTAGCAAATCCCAAGTCATTCCATGAATTCCTATTAGACTTCAGAATCCAATCACATGAGACAATGCACCAAATTTACAATCATTCAGTTATTGGAGGAAAACAAAAGCTTCTATAGGATGTTGAACCTATATTCGTTTGGTGATGCTAATGCTATTCTAAGTATCAATTCCCAATTCTCAATTTCTGTGTAGTCGCTACTATTTCTCTTATTCATCATCTCTCTCTTCTTGCCAATAGCCTTCCCATTCCTCCTCCGATTCATCTTCGTCATTGTCTTCCTCTTCCACTTGGGTTTGTAAATTTCGCCTTTCTTTTGTCTTCTGTTGGAAGCGAATGTGGTGGGTCTTTTCTTTCTGAAATACTTTCGATTTGACTATCTCCCTCAGCAACAGATCGTCATCTTCCATGGTTTGAGCCGGCCCTCCGTTTCCGATAGCTGTCATTTGCCTTGAGGCTACGCTGGTATTTTGTAGCCGATAGCGTTGCCTTCTCCAACTCGTCATCACCATCTTCGATTTTCTTCTCTCGTTCTTTTCTTTCGTGATATTGCTCTTTTGCATGTTTATTCCTTTGAATCCTTTGCTGTTCAAGCTTCTGCTTTTTAATCGGATCATTCCCGTTCATAGTTTCCTGCTTTCGTTTTACTCTTTCTAGATATTGCCGTTGTCCATATGTTAGGGGCCTTTCTAGTCGTTGCTCTTCAGTTTCCTGTCTCTCGGACAAAGTCTTCTTTCCGCCTCCACCGCCTCGGTTTTCTTCTTCAGCCTCTTGGCTACTACTTCCCATTGACGAAAAGGTTGCACCTCCCAGTCCCCTATTTTCTTCTCGTCTACGACTTACTGAATTTTGATCGCGCGCAATTTCTTGGTACCTGGTCTCCCCACCCTCCTGCCACATCTCTTGTCCATGTCTTCCACCTATAGCCTGCAGGTTGCTTTCTCTCAAAATAAATTCTATATCCATTGGCCCTATGTTGTTTCCAACAGCCTCTCCATGCCTATGTGCCATCCCCATCTCCAGATTCAACCCCCTCACTCTACGTTCCGCTTCTATCCGAGCGCGCTCTATCCCGCTCTCTTCCACTATTCTCTCCTCTCTCTGCCTTCTCTCCTCTCTCTGCCTACTCTCTCTGTCTTTCCTCTCTCTTTCTCTCTGCCTACTCTCTCTCCTTTCCTCTCCCTCTCTTCTCTCTCTTCTCTCTCTTTCTCTCGTCTCTTCCGCATGCTTTTCAAGGTCCAATTCCATCTCCATCCCAGCCAGACGCTCTTCATCCGTCGGAGACGGTAACCTTCTCGGACCAGTCATAATGATCGTGCCACGCTCACGTATTTCCAGAACCCAAAATTAGTAATATACACCAGATATATCTGGATATCTCCTCCTAATACTCTATCCACCTTGTCTTCCTCGCAAATAAGCCACGAAGTCGAGTCGTTCTTCACACTGTTCGTATCTATGCGTACAATCCCTCTTCGTCCAGGCTTCACCGGTACTTGTCCCCAATCAATATAACAGTACCCACGGACACTAAATACCCTTCGTAAACAATAATGAAAAAAAGAATGAAAAGATGTATTGGATGTTTTGATGTTGTATTTCACCATCGTCCCACGCTAGATTTTCCTAAGAGAACAGATGAAGGGGGGAAAGAACAGATAAGCAAGACGAGATATGAAAGTCGAATATCAATACAGAAGAGCAAGAACGAAAGGAGAGTGTTGAAAAAGTAATATTATGAAGATAAAAAGAGAGAAACAGCGAGTGAAGTATGCATCTTCGACCATATTAAGGTTGCTACCATTGCCTTGTACATGCAATGAAGAAGTTGCAAGGAAGAAAGAAGAAAAACAAGGTACATTGAGAAAAGAATGCTCATTTGTGTATAGTACAACTCCTCGTAACAGCATAAAATATACCCAAACAATATCATGATCTATTAGTAATACACTCCGCAACTTTTTTTATACCAATTAAACATTAACACTACCCTTCATCCCTCTCACAGGAAAGGACTACCAATCCTGGATACCCTCCTCAGCGAGATCAAGCGGTTCCCCATTAGCCGCCGCCCTTGCATTACTAATTTCCCATTCAAACTCCTTAAGTGCTCTAATCTCGCTCCCTACAAAAAGCCCACCAATTAACCCATCAATAACGCCCGCTCCAAGTCCCAAACTACTTAATAGCATGAGTATAAATGCAACGAAATTTCGAGGACTCCACCAAACAGCGATAAAACAACCTATACTAATAAATACCGAAGCGACGAAATGGCCTAAACGAAGACGTCTTTGACGACGTTCCCGGAGTCGGTAGGTATGAATCATGGCGATGATTTCATCGTATGTTGAGATGGGCAGGTATGGAGGTGATGAAGAAGTTTTAAGTTGTGTATGAGCACTGAGGAGATGAGATTCTGAGGGGGCGGTCTGGAGGTAGACACCATTAGAAACGGCGGATTTATTTTGTATTTTCTGTTCGGTTGGTGACGCATATTTTGTATGTACCAATGTTGCTTCGACGGAGAAATGATCACTCAATGAGCATTGATATTTGGAATGTCGTTGCAGCATGCCAACACGTGCATCTTTTACAATCCATCCTCCTGCTGATGGATTGTTCTCATCGAAACATGTGTTGGCGAAGATATAGTCCAGTCGTTTCGCACGAGGGTCAGGCGTGTCGCCCGGGATCTCAATCTCTGGGCGATTTGGACCAAGACGTTTTTGTTCTCCCTTGTTCCAACGCCAAGTATTTAACACGCTATCGCAAGTTGCACCGTTTTCCGATAAATTGAATTCCGCAGTTGGTATTGGGCGTCTTCGAGCCTTTTCGACTTCATCAATCGCAGCACCGATAGAGCAATCAGGATGCAAGACCATCCAGACATCTCGAGTGGGTGAATGTGTACTGATGAGTCGATGGGCGAGGGATAATGGTATCATATTGAAATCTCCTAGGCCAAGAACTAAATGTCCACGCTCTGCGGCACCTCTCATGAGTTTCGCTATTTCCCATGCTTGTGCTGTTCGATGGCAGATATACGAATCGTTTGGCTCTGTTTCATAAGGCGCGTGGAGCTATGTGCATTAGTTTTGGTAGAGCAAAAAGATTCAAAGTACTTGCATGTGTAGTGAAAACCTCCACAATATCTTTTAGCCCTTGTCCAAATCGAATTCTGGCACCAGCAACACCCTTTCCAACAAACCAATCGCCTCGGAAAAACGCCGTAGGCCTGCCATTCAGAGGATACCTGAACATCGAGCTCTCTTCGATTGGCCATTTAGACAAAATTGCCAAGCCCCCTCCAAATATGCCACTGTGATAAAACTTTCCATAAGGTAAAATATGCTTAGTTTCCTTTCGTATGCTCTTGTAATCTTCCTGTGTCCAACACTCCTGTAGACCAACTATATGGGGTGTAGGACTTGCAGACCCAATGGCTTGCCCAATTTCCGTAAGACGTTCATTCCGTAGGGTCGAGATAAACTTGAGACCCCAACAATTGAGAGTGATCACATTGATCTCATTGACTTCTAGTGATGGGGATTCCATAACGAGTAACGTAAGGTTTGGGGAGAGAGAAGTGGTAGAATAGAGGTCTTATATCGTGGAGATCTGCTGAGGCAGGAGCGGCGTAGTGCTGAAGAAATGAAATTAAAGAACTCCGTTTTGTGATTTTGACCCTTGCAATTGCATACCATAAATTCTATCACTCTGTTCTATTGGAACTCAACTCAGGTAAGTAGAAAAGTTCGGACAGTTAGTTCAATGTCTGCATTGGGTAGCTATTATGGTGTTTTGAACCATTTCCCATCAGTTCGGTCCCTTCCCTTGAATTAACCGTCATGACGTTTCTAGCCTCAACACCAAGGACTCAAAACCAGGGGTTCATGGGTCCCGTCCGGTAAAACAGCCGATGCTATACAAGGGTAAGCGCGTCGCGGTTAATTTCTCCATATGCTAGCGCTTAATTAATTTAAGTCGTCATTAATGTAACAAGAGCTCGAAAGCTTGAAATAATATCCGACATTGATGAAATAGCTACAACTCCATTCGATATGGCAGAAAGACACCAAACAAAACGTCGAAGATACGATAGCGAAGTTTCTACACCGGGCTACAGTTCGCCGGATGAATTGGCAGATGATAAAGTAACCCGTCCATCTACGAGCACGCGTCGCGATTCAACACGCAGACAATCCAGACCATATTCTAGTGATGGTAGCGCCGATGAACTGGACCATACGAATCCCCGCCATCGAAGTCCACGAAGTACCCGAAGTCGTCGAAATTCAAATCAATCAAGAAGTCGATCTACCTCTGAAGATTCACATCGCTCTGCGCAGTCCTCATCCACACCTCCCCATAAACCTTTAAAACTTAACTACAAATGCAAATTTATATTACGAGGACATCGCAAAGGAGTTGCGCAAGTAAGATATTCGCCCAATGGTCGATGGATAGCTAGTTGTTCTGCAGATGGCACAATCAAAATATGGGATGCGGAAACGGGAAAACATTTGCGAACAATGGAAGGGCATCTTGCAGGTGTATCGACGATTGCTTGGAGTCCGGATTCAAATACTATAGCTTCAGGATCTGATGATAAGGTTATTAGACTTTGGGATCGAGCGACTGGTAAACCATATCCTACGCCTTTACTTGGTCATCATAATTACGTTTATTCGGTCGCTTTTTCTCCAAAGGGGAATGTGATTGCCAGTGGAAGTTATGATGAAGCAGTCTTCTTGTGGGATCTACGTGCAAGAAGGCAGATGAGAAGTTTACCAGCGCATTCTGATCCAGTTGGTGCGGTGGATTTCATCCGAGATGGAACATTAGTATGCAGTTGTTCTACTGATGGGCTCATGTAAGTCCATTTGCTAGCCATTCATAATTTTATATCGGAGATACTAATTATATCCTAGTCGTGTATGGGATACTGCAACTGGTCAATGTCTTCGAACTCTCGTACACGAAGATAATGCGCCGGTAACCACAGTCCGATTTTCACCCAACGGCCGGTATATTCTGGCGCATACACTCGATTCTTGCATACGACTTTGGGACTATGTAGCTGGAACATGCAAAAAGACGTATCAAGGCCACGTTAATAATAAATACTCATTAGGAGGAAGTTTTGGTTTCAGCGGGAATCAAGGGTTTATCAGTTCGGGTAGTGAAGATGGAGACATTCTCTTCTGGGATGTTAGCACGAAGGAATTGATACAGACAGTTCATGGACATGAAGGCGTAGTTTGTTGGGTTGATACTGCTCCGGGGCCAAACGGAGCGATTGTTAGTGCTGGTTTGGATGGAACAGTTCGGATATGGGTCGATGTGGGTGATGAAGATGGGTCTCCAAGACTGGATAATTTACATCTTGAATCGCAAAACGCAAATCACATGAAGCAGGAAAACGAAGAAGATGAAGATATGGGTGATTATAGGAATGAAGAGAGAGATGATGGAGACGAGGAAAGACAAAGGAGATATAGCAATGATACCCCGAGAGATGATATGAGTGTGGATAGGGAGACATCGAGAGAAAGAGATATGGATAAGGAAAGGGAAAGAAGCGAGGAACGCAGTCCTGAAAAAATGGAGGAAGACTAATCAGCTCTGACAGAGAAAGTTACTTTAATTTAATGTGTAAAGCATAACACTACCTTTCCCTCACTTAAATCCCAGTTTTAGTCCGCAACTAGACCCCGATGGGCTCAAGAAATGGATATGAATCTTAGGTCGATCTAGACGGTTGCTTGCAAGATAGCCTGTCTAAGTAAACTTCTCTCTTCTCGGTCATTAGACCGCAGCTGTCACACGCAAGATACAGGTAGTATTTGGTCTGAGAGGGGAGCACAGTGTTTGGGCTTTGAAGCGGGAGCAATGCGTCTTTCTAAAAACTATAAGTCTACTCAGTCCACCCTGTTATGTGACTAGGTTACGTAACGATTGTAGATGTGTCTGATGTTTGGTAAGTGCTAAAGTAAAAGTTTATCATGCGATTATGTTCAGCAAACGTGTAAAACGGCGTGTCTCGTGTCTGGACCTGGTGATTAATCGGTGTCGATATGCATTTTAGTATAAGAATGGAGTGATGAGCACAATGATCTCATGGGGTCTTAAGTTTGAGATGGGAACCTCTGTGAAAAAAAGGAAGATTTGGACGCTTCGGTATATATGTAGCGGAACACACAGTCTCATACTATCTCACCGATATCTTCTTCTGAGAAACGTGACTTAGAGCAAGAATCAACACAATGTTCAGAATAATGATGTATTCTTCGTTGACTCATGGAATCCGAGACTCTGTAATCAATTCTCCAGAGCGGCTCGCTTGCAAACACATGGCCGATGCAATCTTCTGGTCAATCCATGGTCAGGGTCTTTTCCAATCTATATATTCTACGGATTCACTGTAGCTGCTCGATTCACCGTTTCCACTGCGCCATACTTGCATCGATGTTGATATATATACATCGTCTTCGCATGTTGTAACATCTATCAATTCCATTTCAGATACAACGCACAGAAGGATCTATAGAATACCCAGTCCCTAGAATAACATCTTCTATTCGACTGAGAATTGGCCCCAAACTTTAAGTCGCCACATCCACAAAAATACAACACCCATCGACAAATCTTCACAAAGTCGCCGTCATGAACTCAACACCTCAGCAAGAATTAAAAGCCCTCATCGAGTTCAGGCCATTCTCACGCTTGCCATTCGAACTTCAAGCCCGAATTTTCAAAGAAGCACAACCTGGTCCTGTGGTCACCGATTTGCTTTTATTTATCCATATAGAGGGAAATGATAGATCATTTACTGTTACCCCTCCTAGAAATTATGGGCTGAACAGTTTACTACTAGCTTGCAGAGAATCACATGCAGAGATCACTCGCAGATTTCTAAAATTTGAAGTCATGACCCCGCCTGTACTTGACGACTATGTGTGGAAGCACAGCAGTTACTTTCGGCCTAATATCGATATTCTTCTTGTCGAAGCCGCAATGATTCTGCAATTATATGACATGGGCGGAAGTTTATCTGTAGAAAACATCACACAGTTGGCGTTGGATGTATTTCAAGAATCGTGGTATTGTCCTCTCACGACCTTTAGCGCCAGAATGAACAACGCAGCCAAGCTATACACGTTCCTGAGTAACCATTGTCCAGCTCTCTCAAAACTATGGCTCATAGTTGAGACAGAAGTTTCTCCCATAGAATCTCCATCAAGCACGCACCTACTTCGAATGCTGGATGTTTCAGATGGATTGATAGATCTTGATTTGCGCGTACAGTACGCCCCAGGCCTAAGCGACCGACAAAGGTACTTGCAAAGAATGTACTTGCAGCTACAAATGAATAATATCAAAGGATACGCGGACAAGATTGCTGGAGACTTCAGTCGGTTTTTGAATACGGAAGAAAGTGATCCCTGGCCTTCACCTGGAGAGGCAACTCTAGAATACTGGAAGACTCGCAGGCCTGTAGCCGCTCTGGTGTGCTTGATTACTAAATATGAAAGTGGCAGGGATATGTATTCATGCAAAGTCGAACACAGTGGTACTTCAGCCTGGCTTTGGGTGCCCGTCTTGGACGTCAACATTGCATGCCATAAGGACGCAAGTCCTGTGCATAAATACAAAGGGCTGGCTCAGATATTTGATGGTGAACCGTGGTAGTTCAAGTTAGATATATGAGAGAGCACGTCAATGGCACAACATCTTCGGCCAGGAACGGGCAAGGATGTCTATTGAGAGGATCTAAAGAACAGAAACTCAAGGGCGGAGAACTGACTAGATGAACAAAGCACCCAGTTAGACAACTTCACATAATGAAATATTTCTTCACACAATTTCTTCTGAAAAACTTTCTCTCTTAGTGAAATCAGTCTTGATTTCCGGGCTCTAGTACCCCATTTGTGTTATTCTTGACTTTATTGATAAGTGATCTTTGATTCGTGCATATGGAATATAATATTTCTGAATCTAGGCTCATTTTCGCGTGAGAGCATTCTCGAAGTAGATGCACCTAATGCTATCCAATTTCAGCAGACCATAAGCAAGTACCCCACAACTACCTATAAATTGAAAACCTAGAGATCTAAAATGAAGTAAGCTTTTGAAAATGTAAAGAAATAGTACGTATAAGAGAAAACTCTTATTCGTTGATATATATCAAGAAACCAGTCTGTACATAAATATCACTGTCTCCAAGTCTTCGAAATGAAAGTATTTACGTTATACGCACAATGTGATATAGTAATATATTTTTATCTATCTCTACACAAACTATTCAAGTTCTTGAAATCTAAAAGTTGGCTTTGCTTTTCATTTCAACCCCAAATCCATCCATATATGACCTCCAAACATTAGATCCCTCATGAAACTCAGAAATTGCGCTGTTTGTCAGCTCTAAACTTTGGTAAAGAAGAAGTGCATCTTGTGTACCTTGAGATTATTAAGCATTTTCACAAGTTAGCTTTCCCAGGATTTAAGGCTAAGCATCTGCCATTCTATTGAATGGCTGCAACCACGCAATGATATCAGGATGAAAATTCTACCCAGTGAGATGAATAATCTTTGGTGACAAGACCATGCTCTACCTAGGTAGGTAACTATCTCATTCGTCCACGTGCTTTATTCACTTGTTGACCCTGATCAACTTACTCATGTGCCAGGAAAATCGCTCTTGTATACCTAGTATTTCATTCCGTCAAGTTAAGGGAACCGGTGCAGCGACTACAGTTCTTTTCTGATGCCTCATTCTCACCATACGCAAATCTTCGACGTCTCTATCATCGAAATTACTCGAGACTTGCGGTGTTTGACGTCAACAGCATCATATCGCTTGTTCGCAACATTTGCCATTTCAACAAATTATCCATCGCTGGGACAGAGACTCTCCCTTTACAACTTGCGATACTCAGACTACACACACAACAATATGGCCGACAAGATTTTGACGACAACATGTTCAAAAGCAGCATCAGAAAGATTCAACGAGTTCCCATTGTTTTCCTCATTCCCAGTTGAAATACAGTGTCGGACTTTCAAAGAAGCTTTTCCCGACCCAGAAATCGTATATTGGGATTTTGATGTAACAGCACATAGAGGGCAAGATGTTTGGGTTTTCTTTTCAAAAGCAGACATCACGCATTACTCCCTTTCTTGCTTGCATGCAAGAACTCACATGCAGAGGTCTTCCGGAATTACGAGAAAATCGAGATAAATTTCCCTACCCCCGTGGCTTTCCATAGTTGCAATCAATCTGATCGTTCCAGGTATCTTCGAAAGACTGTTGATACTCTCTTAGTCAGCTTTATCAACTTCGTATCATTGAATAGGGAGGGAGGAAACTTGCCGTTGAATAACATCACATACCTTGCTTTAGATCTTGATTTCGATCCTCCCTCATATATCCGTGTTTATGCCAAGCTCCACATTTCAATCAGCATCCACTGTCCGGCTTTGAACACATTGTATTTTGTTTTTGATTACGGTCCTGGTCGAGCAGATTGGTACGCTACCGAATACCGGCAACTTGTTGATATTAGTGAAGGCTGTGTGGATCTAGACTGGGAATTTCCGAGATTGAAACAATCCTTGAAGAAACGATTTCGAAATCCACCTCATCCGAACCATATTGCATATATACACACAGCATTGGAAGATCTCAAATACATTGACAGAGAATCCAAACATCTCTTAAAGAGCTTTGATCGCTTCATAAATACCACAGAGAATGACATGTGGAATAAGCCTGGGGAGGAAACATTAAAGTATTGGGAGAATATCAGACCGACTCCAACGTTGATGATGAGATGCCTAGACCATTTTCAGGCGAGTCCCTGTTCTTGCAAGTCCGAGTATCCGGAGCTCTATTCAAGACAGAATGAGATCTATCTAGGAATCCGCAAGGATGGAACGCCAATGCACATGTACACAGGTTTGAGGCAAATCTTTGATGGGGAACCGTGGTAGACGAAGTAGGGCTTGATTGATGAGCAATGTAACAATTAAGTACTTGATAAGTTCAAGACATAGGATTCTTATTGTCATGGACTGGGAGAAATATGATACTTACGGATTGGGCAAACTGTGAAATGTCCTCGGATAAATATTGAATAAGGGTTTTGTATTTCAGTGTTATGGGAAGCTAAGATTAGCATCAGCTTGTGTCCATATTCAAGTTAGAATAGCAATAAATTCTTTAGGCATAAAGAAAACTCAAAATTTAAACATAATAGTGAAGAATTATACCAAAAATGCTAGAAGTGAGAATGTACAACTAAAATCTGAGATCAACCATGAGGACCTAGCCGAGTGTCTAGCTATATATATGTAGGATTATTCCAATATCCAGATCTAACTAGAATCATGCCATAAACTTAAAGAGCTTCATTAACATCTTTTCGTATGTAATGATACAAAATCCTTGTATTGATGGTATACGATCTAACGATCTTGAAGATTGATTCGCTTATCATGACATCCCCTTTTGCACTCACAGACAAATCGGGCACACTGGAATCACAACGATATTAGAACAGGCGAAAAGTTGTTTTTTACATTCTCTTTATCTATTACTAGAGTATTAGATATTGTTTTCTTATAAATAGACAGACTGGAAAGATCAATGTGGGTAGATTTAGGGTTCCAAGTCATGCATAATGTTTATCACCGTGACACCAATTATTACCACAACAAAGCAACATACAACTAAATAAAAGAACTAAATGAAACTCAGCATTTTCTAAAACACATACATAGCAAAATAAAATTAACAATACTCAGAAATTCAGCGTTGTGGTAGCCTTTCAATAATGTCCTCAAAGTAGTTGGGTTGGGTCAGCAAAAAAAGTTGAAATCAAAAGTTGAATGAAGTTGCAAAAACCAAAATTCGAACTCGAAAATTAAAAAAAAGCTCTTTGATTCAAAGAATTACAAAATAGTTGATTAAACAACTTTTCAGACATGCAACAAATCTTTTGTGATTATGTAGATGTCACATGGAAAATATGTGATTGGGGACGGCAATCAGATGGGAGAACTTCGGGCCGAAGGGGAGTGGTGGTTCGAGCTTTTGGCGAGCTTGGGGGGTTTTTGGAGGTTGATGCATTGGATGGTTGGGGTAGATTTAGGATTTTCTGGGTTTGGCGTTATTTGTGAGAATAAATATATGTTTGTTCGTTGTGATGGGATGGAAGGAGATGCTTTGTTATTGGGAGTTAGGTGAGGTGTTGGTATGCGTGTTAGGTTGTTGATGAATTTGTGATTCAAGAAACTATCAATAAACTTGAGAAGCAATCATTTTGGTAGCTTGAACACAACGAAAATTTGCTATCATGTTGCATTTCTCGGAATCCTACAGATGTATGAGTCTGGACTGCCATCAGAACATCACAGCTCCCTATTCTACTCTGCCTACTTCCAGAAATCCTCCTCTATTTGATATCTGTCTATCCCAACAGTATAGATATTTCAAATGCATGTCTTCCATCCGTCATGGCTCCTCAGTTTCAAGCATAACACTTGGAAATATCCAAATTCTTTAGTTATTAATCTAGGCATATCACTCAGTAACGGAAGCAACATATGAAGAGACCCTTTCCTCTGCAGTTTTAAAGTCCCTCTCTCAAACCGAAAGTTATTAGTCCCTGATATTCAACTATCCAACTCACAAGATTTCATGATGACATCTTTCAGCAAAAGATCTTCTGCCTGTAAAGTACTAGATGCTACTACTTAGCTTTCGCTTCTGAAGTCATGTTCTATATGAGGAGGCTCTAACAAATTAGATTTCATGATCTATTAAGATTTCTTGAACTCACAATTGAACTTTGTTAATTATGAGTACCTAGGTTGAGGAAATTGCAAATATCACAGTAGGAAAGGAGCGATATTGGCTCATTGTGGAGTTTGAGGTCTTTGAGGTGAATTATGAAAAGGAGTTTGGGGGAGTATTTGAAATAAGCAGGCTGTGATCAATTGACTTTGTACGTAAAGGATCACTTGAGCTGCAAAACTGTAAGATTAGACTAGATTCATATTGGATGGGCTTCCTTAGTCTTGCAGAGATAGGGAGGATGTGTAAGAATTTGTGAAGGAGGGCCGAGTTAAAACCCATGGCTGAGTGTTAGGTTGAGATGGATTGCAATTTCTTGGTGAGCCAGAAACGTTCTATCATGAAGTTATTGAAAGGACAATCATGATGATATTTGCGGGGCTGAAGAAGAGTCGTAGTGAAATTACTTGAGGAAACGGATTGAGGAGGTTTGTGATATTGTGCCATGTCACAGGAGTGTGACTCAAATTTCAAGGAGATTATTGAAAGTATCTCACAAGAACGCATAGTTCTTCTATCCTCTACAAACCAAGTTAGCAAACCTAGATGGTCCACGTACCTTTGTCTCTGTCTTTTGAAGACTCAATAGATGCAGGTGGATCTGACGGCCAGTAGACATAAAAGAGTAATCTTGTCCATGTATCCTCTTCCAGAATCTCTCAAAGTACCATTTACAACTTTCCTTTTCACTTTCCACTATGTATATCTATATATTGTTTTGAAATATTGAATATGCTCGCGTTAGAGGCTGTGATACCGATTCACTTACAAGTAATACATCATCAATGAAGAATGACAAGGGCAAAATCTACCTCTAGGCCAATCACAACCCTGA